TGTGTGATCATGCAGAAGACGGGGCGCCGCTGAGCACTGCAGCCACGTGTTGGTGGGATCTCAAAACTGATGGTCTTACTTGTGTGCAGGTGGAGAAGGAGACACTCGATTGTGAGGGGGAGATGCTTTCAGGGTCTTTTACGACTTATCGTGTGACAGGTATAGTGACGGTATATGGATGCAAGATATGATAGTGAAGGCATGCTGTCTTCCTCCATCGTAGAGTGTGTGATTTCTGGCATGTTGTGTTGAACGTGTGAGGGAGTACTTTTTTCAGCAGCTTGTGTATGCTACTCCTTCTCACTGTAGCTCTATTCACTCTGGCGAACGGTGGGGGAGGGCATCGGCCTTCTGATCCGTTCGACGAAGTGCAACCGCGAGATTTCCTAGCGAAGGAACTGCCTGTGTTTAACAACAAGGTGTCTGTCGAGGCCTTCGTGGATCTCGTCAGGAAGGGTCAACCAGCAGTGTTCAAGACAGCCGGTCTGGGCTGGGCATTAGTGAATGAGAGTTGCCGGGACTTCGCTAGGAGATGGCCTGAGGGGAAGATGTCGAAGCAATACCAGAGCTATGATAAGAGGGTCGCCCTGGGGGAACCCGGCTGGGCTGAAAACAAACCCGGGCGTATCGGCGACCAGGCGACAGCGGCACCTTATGTGTGGCATGTGAAGGATCGTGTGACGAGAGATATGAAAGAGTCAGTTCAGCGTATCCTGTTTCCTTTGGGAATTGCTATGGAGAACCTCCCGTGGTTGGCAGGAAGGCATCAGGCACTTGAACAACATGTAGCCGACAGTATGGAATTTTGGCTGCAGCCACCTCGAGCCGGCACGCTAGCGCATAACGACGCTTATTGTGTCAACGTGATGTCAGTACAACTGAACGGTTTTAAACAGTGGAAATTGATGACCATGCCTAAGGTCGATTCCATAGCGCAAATGTTCGACGAGTTCGATGGTGGTATCAGGAGAGATCCGACCAGGGCATTCGAACCGGACTATGAATACACCCTCGGGCCAGGAGAAGGTATTCTGTTTCCGCCAGGGATGATGCATGAGACACTCAGTGTGTCCGACAACACATGCACGACAAGTGTCACGTTCAATATACCGATACCGATGTCGGCTCGTTACATACGAAACCTCCTACCACGGCTATCTCTGTCAACTGAGTTTGGCGATTGCCTGTGGGATCGTTGGGCTCCCACAGTAACGCTCGGTATAGGGGGAAGGTGGACGGACCAGAAGCTCGATGGTGGTAAAGTTGCTGGTCAGAAAGCCAGGGAGATAATCGAAGCAGTAGACCGCAACAATGACGATCAGCTGAGCTCAATAGAACTTTTGCACTGGTTGAAGACAAGTCCAGCGGCCGAACACTTTCGACAGCCGGGACGTAACCCTGACGCTAGGCTGGCCTTCAGCAAGGGGGCTAGCCTTGCTGACGAGTCTATTGCATCGCTACTCGAGCTGAGAGCAGAGGATTCGATCGCCTATTGGGACGTGAATGGTGATGGTATTGCTACGATAGAGGAGATTCACGACGCTTTATGGCAATGGCATGTTATCGTGACAAGAAGCGAGTGGCCGATTTGGTCCTCGGCGACAGAGCCGATCCGGGCACTGAAGA